GAACTCCAGCCTAAAGGTTTGTTATGAGCCTTCGGATGAGGCGTTATACGGATATTGCACAACCCAAAACTTTCTAAAGCTTTCAACATATGGTTCAAATTATTTGCGCTCAAGGTAGGAGACTGCTGATTGCTCCTCGTGACATTACCTACCTTTGAACGGTAAATGTCTCTATACTCATCTCCACAGCTATTTCTAGTTGGTCGTCAAGGATAATTAGAACATATTTCTCTTTTTTAACGCAATGTTCTTTTTGCCCGAAAACGAACTTTCAATCAGTGCTGATGTATTTTTATTTTTTATTTTTATTCAATTACTTTTCTTTCGCAAAAAATACTGGTTCTGCGGGTTCCACAGGTTCCACAGTCTGCTAATGTTAGCAACACCCTTAGTACCTCACAGAGAAAGATCGAGAAATTTTTGTTATATCTCTATAGTTCTGTTAATTTTAAACACAGATTAGCTCGAGATGCTGCCTGTTCCTACTTGAGCAAGAGACTTATTGTCTGACTCAGTAATTAGAGGGTCTAAATGGGGAGTTACTTTTACGGCTAACGGTTAAAATTTTGACCAATTTACGGCTAACAGTTAATATATTTCCATCGTAGTAATCTCTCCTGGATGCACCATATTAACTAAATTTCCACGAAAATAAGCAAAGGTATCGGTATTATTGCAAGGCATAGACACTTGGTACCGCTCACTACTCTTATAAAGATTTATCGCTTGCTCATCGAACCGTATATTTTCTATGGTCTCGTTGCTTGGGGCCAAGCCGCAAATACTCATCTAAAGAAGATCGTAATTTTACAAAAGCGGGCTCTTCGTCTAATGGATTTTTCGGATTATTCATCTCACAGTGCTCCTCTTTTTGCTCGTTCGGGAATTCTACAGATAAAAATGCTTTACTTCAAATTGTTTGCCTGTCTGTTACATGACATCAGAAATCATTGTGCTCCTCCCAATATTTCTGACCTTTTTACTCACTCTGAGCAGGTTTATCCCTACTCTACTCGTTTCTCGGTAGCTGGAAGCTTTTACATAAAACAGGTGAGAACAAATCATCAGTTGCCTTTCTTTTCCAGAGTTGGTGCGAAAATATGGAATGGCATCCCCCCTGAACTTCGTAAGCTAAGGAAAGCACCTTTTTAACGCAAGCTAACTCACCTGCTTTTGAAAATTCTTGAAATTGAGGTGAAGGTTGACTTGCGCTACCTTGACCTTTCTAGCTTATATTTGTATTTCAACTGACTAACTTTCTCTTTGACCTGTTAAAATCTCTTGCGTGACTAGCTCAGCTAAAAANAAGAATCATATTTCTGTAGTGCGTTCATGATCAGTACTTCGGCTTCTGGTTTCCCCTACACCAGCGTTGGATTTTGGTTTACCAGTACAACAAATCATTCCCTCGATCTTCTCTCTGAACTGATGGTTCAGCAAGGCATACACGAATGGGTTGACTGCTGAATTGAATAACACCATTAAATCAACAACTGCAATATGTTCAAAGCTGATGTTGAGAGTTGTAAGGGTCCTTAAGACGTATTCAACTGATTCTGCTCCCCACGAAACTGCAAAGATGAAACTGACTGTTACAGCCATCAAGGTGACACGTTTCCGAACCTTCATGACACCCTGCGAATTAAGAGGAGGAAAAGTGTCCCAGTCAGCTCAGCGAACGTAAAGAAGTACGATGTTGAATTTCCACGAGACAAACGACTCTTCTCCGCTGGAAGTATTTGCAGTGGTGGATCTATGGGAGGGGCCCAGGTAAAAAAAAATAAACGCAGAAGGAAGAGAAGCTGGCAGATACACGCACAGGAAAAAACCGCTGCCCTCCCCTATTTGAGGGTATGAATCTGCAACTGATATGTACCCCGCTATTTTACCAAAAACCGTTTTTAACGATATTAACTTAGAGGACATCTTTTTAGATAAAGGTTCAATTGTCATTCAGAAAGAATCCACAAGACAGCAGAATTGTTTACCCAAGACTTCCTGAGTTTAATTTCTTGCCCTTATTAAACACTAACTTGTTGCTGATAGTTTATTCCTTTGTTTTCATTGCGTTTAAACCACAAGGTGCCCACGACAATAGAGTAAAGGACAACCATTATTCCCACCGCAACGATAACCAAGACCAACCACGCCAAACAATAAGTCGTAGACATCCACTGCTCGGGCCAACTCTGAACACAATTTTTGCTGCTTTTCTCCTTGTCGAAGGTCCTAGCCAAAAACAGTGGTATGTTGAAAATAACTGAGAACACCCATGAGCCAAGAACTATCATCTGAAAAAGAGAGTGAAAAGAGTGGTGCATTAATTTTTCGACCCGTTTTTTCCACAATGCCTAACGTAAATTCAGAGTTGTCCTAGGCATTCTACCAAGTGATTGGCAGTAAGATGGATTGGTAGCTAAATCGCTGGATGACCGCCTCTTTTCAGACTAATGGCCACATTTTAAATAGGTTTGGAGGATTTTTTGGACATTTTAAGGGTTGATGCTTAGACTTACCCTCAACTTGCGCCGTGAAAGATTCTTATCCCTGGCAAGGGGGTATAATACAGTGTAATATCTTTCAAAGGCAATTGCAACCAAAGTGACCAGTGAGGAAACTCCTGGAACCCAGGCCATATTTCCACCTGTTAAGAGCTTGCAGAGAACCACACCTGCCAATCCGTCTGGGTGACTCATGTTGAAGCTGACAATAATCTTTGGTGAGATTAACGTTGCGAATAGGATATCGGATATGGCCAGATTTAAAAGTAAATAATTCATGGGATGTCTGTATTTGGAGATGAAATATCAAAATTATCATCATGAATGATCAAAAGTAAAACTTAATTACACGCGAACAAGGAAGAAACAAATGAGTGAAGAATATCAATTCATGATGTCCACAATGTTCGCTTAATAAGAAATATTATATATACAAGGCTAAAAAGTTAAAAAAAGGTTAAAACCAAACGTTCTCGGCTGTTTTCCATCATCAGGGTTGAAGGTGTTGACCCTCTGTAAATACATATATATCTTATGTGATTCCCGATGGGAAAAGTTTGGAGACATAAGAAATAACTTGTTTGTTCAAACTGGGACGGAATTGTTGGATCGATAACCGTCTTTACATACATATATATCTAATGTGATTCCCGATGGGAAAGGTTTGGAGACATAAGAAATACCTTGTTTGTTCAAACTGGGGCGGAATTGTTGGATCAATTCCGCCCCAGTTTGAACAAACAAGTTATTTCTTATGTCTCCAAACTTTTCCCATCGGGAATCACATAAGATATATATGTAT